GTGTACCGGCGGGCAGATGGGCTCAGACCCACACTGCGTCCTTCCTGCCGAGTGACGCCTCCCTGTGGAGTGGGCAGGGTGACAGTGTGCTGTGCCAGCCCGGCGAGTGGCAGGTGCGCCAAGTGCGGTCACCGGCTACGCAGCTGAGGCCACTCTTGCTGAAAGGGGCACCTGAGCGGAGACGGGCGGTATTTCCATAAAACAAGGCCCTGCAAAGTTTTTCTGTTTTAGCGGCAAACGAAGGCTCAGAGATGGGACTGAGCAGGAACGGCTGGTGGCCAGGTTGTGAGGTGACTGTGCAGAGTGCGCAGAGGAGGAGCTGGGAGACTGTGCAGGCAGGAGCTGTACGAAAATAAGCCACGGGCAGATTGTGGGCCAGGCTGACGCAAAAGCGACAGGTCAGAGAGACATCAAACATGAAAGTCACCCAGCTTTATTGGCTTTACTACGTAGAGTTTGAAAATGATAGAGAGTAAAAAATCACTGCGGTTTGTTCCCAGGAGAAGGGCAGCACCATGGACAGCGGGGGGGGGGGCAGCAGAGTTCTGTCCCCTGCACTGGGGTTTCTGGTGAAAGGGACATGCACTTACAGCTGCCCTGAGGGAGTCGCGGGCTGAGGGTCCAAGCTGGACCACTCAGTTGTGGCTAAGTGGGCATGGCTGGCACCATGGGGTTTGCTGCCTGGAGGTGGGGTGGGTGGATTTCAGAGGGGAGACGAGAGAGGACAGCGGCAGAGGGAGACTGTGCAGTCCCTGGTGCTGTGCAGTCATGTCCTCAGCAGCCCTCCTGAGGCTGAGTAACAAGGTCCTTGGATGCTGAGGAGCAGCCCCTCTGGAATGGCCGAGATGCCAGTCCTCCCTGAGTGTGCTTGGTTAGCAGTCTTCTCCCATTTCATTTCCCTGCACTGTAGTGTGCCCTGGGCACACGCTGAGGAGGACCGTAATTAGTTCTTCCCTCTTCTCTCAGCACCTGCTTATTAAGTGCCTCTCATGCGCAGGTCACCGTCTGTGCTGGCACCAGGCACAGACCAGGGGGGTGCTTGTGGAGGACTCACAGCCTCTCCAGGAAGCCAGACGTGAGTGATGCCAGTGTGCAGTGCGTGAGGGGCACGCTGCGGCTGCTGAGACAGGGCTGGCAGTCTGAGGGGCCTGGGGTCGGGACAGCTCCCGGGAGGTGTTTCAGCCAAGCCCTACGATGTGCAGTGTGCCAAGTGGAAGCAGTAGGTGAGAAGCCTTTGTCCTGATCCAGGAACGAGTCACTTTACTGACATCACTTGTCTTCCCAGCTCCAGCCGTGTCCTACAGAGGAATAGCTTTCCTTCCCTGACACTGGCTCCCTGGAGTTTATAGGACCCTGTGTCCTCGTGTTCCAGAGCCTGTGAATTCTCCCTGGACCCTCCTCTCTTTGCCTTCACAGATGTGACTATTTAGGGAATTGCTGGTGTTGCTCTAAAAACAACCACCCATGACTTTTTCTAGAAACCCAGCAAGCCTTTTTGGGTAGTTGGTGTAATAGACCATGGCAAGAATAAGTCTGACCCGGTCTCTGCAAGGGCTGACCCACAATACACAGGGCGTTTGGCCAGCCTAGGTTCAGTTCCAGTCTGAATGACCCAGGGCATCTGTGTCTAAGGCCACCCCTGGACTCAGCTCAGGAGGTTCCTAGAAACTTTTCCCGTTCCCCATGCTTTGCCGTCGTTGTTACAGCTATTGAATAGTCACTGTGATACTCAGAGGTGGCAAGAGACTCTGATCCCCAGGAAACATTAAGAAGTGTTTCTGAAAACCTTCGCCCCCGAGAACTCAGCCAAGTTATTTTCTAAAGCAAATCAGTATCATCTCCTATATTGAGGCATTTTTTGCTTTTTGAATTATTATATAATTTTCCTTTTTAGATATAAAACGCCACTTCAACAGCCACTTGAAATTCATTTGATTGTCTCCTTTGATAATATTACTGAGAAACATAAGCTTTCTCTCAGAGAAATATATCCCTTGGCCCATACAAAGGCAGCGAGAACATCTGTTGAGTGAGGAGGAAATGAGAGGAACAGGGAGCATGATTTCCTGAGGAAGCCCTTTACCCCCTCGCCACTTCTCTCCTTCCTCTCCTGGAACAAAACTAGAACAAGGGGACCCATTTTCTTAAGCCACAGGGAGAAGGTTGCCCATGGCTGTGTCTGAGGAAGGACGTCCTGTGAAGCACACTTCCTCATGGCATCCTGTTGCTGCTTGATTTGGTTTCTGGAGCGAGTATGGCCTTCGGTTTGGATTCTCTACAACTGTGGAATCGATACTTATACAAATGTGCATGTTGGCCTCTTCCTAAGCAAACAGAAATGAGGATAATTGGGAAACGAGTTGTCACGGGCACCTGGCATTGACCTGCAACCCCCAGTCCATGTTCTGGACTGGACTGGGGCCAGCGTGTGGGCGTGCACCCGACTCTACAGATGATCTAGAACAGACTGGGGCCAGCGTGTGGGCCTGCACCCAACTCTACAGATGATCTAGTACAGACTGGGGCCAGCTTTTACGACTTGCCGGTTACCCACATTCCTGCTTAAAGCAGCATCTCTCCTCTCATAACCCACGATTTTGTTCTCCAGGAGTCTCAGAAGTCAGAGAGCCAAGCTCGTGTGCACACTGAGGGTAAAGACACTTCTGAGCGAGGGCGTGAGAGACGCTGTGATGTAAAGCCTAAACGAGCCCCGTCAGCGCTTGGATTCTGATTGTGCAGAGGCCTTTTGAGTTTCTCTCATTTTAAGGCTGTTAACAGGCTTTTCCCAAACCCTACTATAGTAACGGTTAGGTAGGTGTACTTGAAGATGGCCTTGTTTTTTATGTGTGTTTCCACTCTGACCTGGAATTCCTCTTTCGTCCTTGAAGTCATGAGCAAGGGTTACTACATGTCTGCACCCCAAATGCTGCTGGTTGCTGTGGGGAATGTAAAAGCATTTTCATAGATTGGGTCCACCCTCCAGAGCCTGTACCCACCAGGCAAACCATAGTCAGTGTTCATGGCACCAAAGAAGGTGGCAAGGTCAGTGTTTGGGTGTCATTAAAAATGGCCTCTGGGGAAGATGTGGGTGATCTATCAGCTGCCAACTTGCTTCATAATTAGGTAACAGTCTCTGAGGTCACATTGGATAATTTTAATCCCATGATTTGTTAGTTACCTGGGAATCTGGCTTTCTGGAGTTTCTGTTAAAAGTTCCGTGTACCGTCCTACCGGTTTGGCTCAGTGGTTGGAGCGTTGGCCTGTGGACCGAAGGGTCCCGGGTTCGATTTTGGCCAAGGGCATACACCTCAGTTGCAGGCTCGATCCCTGGCCCTGGTCAGGGCACATGTAGGAGGCAACCAATCAATGTGTCTCTCTCACATCAATGTTTCTCCCTCTCTCCCTCCCTCCCACTCTCTCTGAAAAGCAGTGGGAAAAATATCCTCTGGTGAGGGTTAAAAAAAGAAAAAAAAGCTCCATGTACCTGGGTGGTTCCGCCACATGTCCTCTGGTGAGGGCGCCCTCTTGCTGCGCGTTCACATGGTGGGGGAGGGACAAGACTCCAGTGCTCCAGGTCAGTCCTTACAAGGGCACTGATCCCATCTTGGGCCCCGCCCTCACCGTCTCCTCTCACCTAACCCCCCAAAGCCCTCCATCCTTATAGCAGGTGACCTGGCGGGAAACAGATAATGGCATGCCCCGCACCCTCTGCAGGGATGTGGTCCCCTCGTTTATGACACATGCAGGCGGCTCTTGGCCTCACATCTGGGATCTCAGGTTGTGCTAATATTTGCCCTCTCTTCCCCTCAGTGTCGTGTGGGAGCCCACGGGAGACGGGAAGAGAGTCATTTCCCTTGCTGACAACCACATCCTGCTGTGGGACCTGCAGGAGAGCTCCAGCCAGGCCGTGGTGAGTTACAAGAAGTAGTTTTCGGCTTTTGAATTTTTTAATGCTATTTTAAAAAATTTATTGATTTTTAGAGAGAGGGAGAGAGAGATTTGGCTGAATTTAGAATACACTTCTTGATTCATGTGTGTTTAGAATTTTGACATTAATTATGAAATGGTGATGAATGGATTGAATTATCGATCAAAGAATTGAGGGACTGGCTCCGTCAGGTGAAAGCCGCTCGGTATTGGGCCTTGGGGCGTGTGCAGATATGCCATGGAACCCCGAAAGTTAACAAAACTGCCCCTTTTGTCATACTCTGTCCACACAAGGCGGTGAGACCTCACAGGTATTTCTTGTTTCAAGTGTATTGTCTTTCTAGTGAGTGGATTTTCAGTCTGTTTGGTTAAAATCACCTGTCAGGTGGACACTGATTGCATGGTGCTGACCAGCCTTTTTCAGTCTCTGTGTGAGTCGTGAAAATGACGCTGACTGGGACCCGGACCTCTCAGCTCACCTTCCTCTCACTCCCATGCATGCAGTCCTCAGGGTTAGGGTCACAGACACGTCGGCTGTTCCCGTTTACATGGGTGTGGGACCACCAGACCTGCCCAGTGGCCTCCTCACCCACCCATCAGGCGCAACGCCTCACTTCAGTGTCCATTGTCCAAGGATTGGGTGCTGGGTCCTTACCCTTCTGGACCAGAGATGACATCTCCCTGGACAGGCTGCTCACTCAGGCCTGTTTTACACTTAGCACCGACTGTCCGCGGAACCAGTTGTCTTTCAAATATTCATTGCTTCAAATACTTGGGCTTTCATAGAGTAAATGTTCTACTGATTGGTGTATGTATATTTTCACATTGATTCCCTAAAATTTCCTCTTTTAAAAAAAACGTGATTTTTTATGCGTTCATAATTTCATTGCATTTGTTTATGTCAAAATAACCACTTTAGAGAGAAAAGTGAAGAAATTTGAGATGATAAAGGTCATCACGCCCTTGTACCTGGTTGGGGCAGGATGCCCGAGGAAGTCGAGGGGCACTGGGCGTCAGGGGGTTGTCTTCCTGCTGGGTGTCTCCTGTGTGTATTGCTGCCTCCGGCACGTAGTAACCCTTTGCCTGCGGCACCTCCTTTTTCATTCCAGGGCTGAAGATGACTGAGGACTGAGTGACATTATCAGTGTGTGATGCAAACAGACTCTGACACCCCCGTGGGCAGAGGGACTTTCACAGCCTTCCGTGTGAAATTAAGACTTGGCCCGTTTTGTACCCATAAATCATATTTAAGGGGGGGAAAAATCACTATTTTTATTAAAATTAAAAATAAGACATATCTGTCATGGAGCGCAGCCCGGGTTTCTCCCAGAGCTCGGGATCGGTCAGGACTGCGGGAGGAACCCCGGGCCTGGG